TGGGGGTGACATCCCCGCCGGGGGCCGCGGGCCGGCGGCTGTGCCTTTCGGGGGTTTTATGGCTGGAAGAGGTCGTTCTAAACGAGGGGGAAAAGAAGAAAAGCCTTTGTAATTTTTACATAGGTTTTTTTTTGAACGTTCCGATTGTTTAAACGGCAGCTGAGAAGCAGTGGGGTTTGGTGGGGGCTTTTTTGGGGTTGGGTTTTTGGTTTGGGTTTTTTTGGTGTTTTTTTCGTAATTGGTGAGTTTGTCAGCATTCGGGTCGATGCTCTTTCTTCAGTGCAGATGCGTATTCCAAAGAGATACTTGATTTATTTCACTATGTATTTGATTGTAGTTTATAATTGCTGCCTTTAGACACTTGTGTTTGTAGCTATCTTTTTAAAGTCAATAGCAAAAATTGCTTTTTATTAAAAGCCTTCCAAAACAAAGATTAAAAAGACAGAGGAGAATGTGATAACCTAGCAGCCAAAGCACCCTTTCCTTCTGTGTGCGATCCAAACATTTTGGACCAAATCCTTAGCAATATAAATTGACAGCGTGAACCTCACTGATTTACCTTAGTTGAAGACCTAATTCCAGTGCACAACATACTCAGAATACATAAAAGATATTCTAGAGACACAAAAATAAGCATGGTTTCACATTTCAAGAAAAAATCAAACTAATGCTTTATTTTGCTTTGCACTAAAGCAAAATAAATTCTTATTCCATACTACACTAATTATCTGTAGTGACTGCAAATTCTTTGTTTCCTGTGCACACAGGCATGTTTTTAACCAGAAGCTGTGTGTGATGCTATAAAACGAAAATAAGTAATTTCTTGTGCGATTTTTTTTTTTTTTTTTGTGATAGATGTGCAGTTATTTCACTCTAAGATACGTGAACAAATCTTTAAGGAGTGAAATGTATTCTGTTTTGTTATTGCCTATCCTGAAGAGGCTGTTAGTGTCTTCACCATTTCAAGTGGCTTTAAAATGAGAAGTTTAATAGTCACATTTTAAAAGTTTTATTTCTGTGGTGTTTTACTTGCCTGGTCAAATTTGCCCAGTGCAGCGTGATGATCAAGCAGCACTTCAGGTAGTGGCTTAACAGTTTTTTTAATAGGAGGTCTCCCAAATGCCCGCTGGAACGAGATATTCTTTAGGAGAAGGGGCAGGTTCGCTACACTTGAAACTGATCACCCTGCTGACTTCCTTTCCTGCCTTTCTTCAGTAATTTCTCTAATGTGTGAAGCCACTTTGCTACAAAATAAATATTCAGAGATGGGGAGGGAGGAGGGGGGAGAAGGTAGGAAAAAAAATAGGCCTCCCAGTGAGCTATTGATTTGAAATATGAAACATTTTATTGATATAAGAAAAACCCAGACATAAGGAAGCAGTTTGATATTGCACAATATTTGAAAAAAATCATGTGCATCTGTTTAGCACAATATACTGCATAATGACAGCAATCTTCCCTGTTTGTATCTATTCATCTGATTATACGGCGTAACAATTCTTTTTGGTACACATTTATTTACTAAAGGATTTTTTTTAATGGATAATAAATTAGTAAATCAGATATCATGTGCTTGGGAAAATACGTTAGTTGACTCCCTACACACAAGATAGTTGCAATTCATATTTTATGTGATATTCAGTGATACTTGCATATACAGATGAAGTTATGTGCTTCCCTTGTGGCAAAGACAAAGGAAGTTTTAAATCACTATTTAGTACTCTTTCATCTAGGCACATGTTATTTTGAAAAGCTTCAGTTTTTAAGACTGCAATGCAGCACTGATGTAATGAAGAGCTTTGACTTACTTGAAGTATAACCCAGTGGCCTTCTTTTGATGCTTTTTCCATAGCTATTTCTGCTACAGCTTCCTGTCCTTGACCCAACGATACATTGTGAAGTTCTCCTGAGTCAATGGTAAATTCAAACTTGTTCCCTAAACAGAACAATATAACTGTACTACTTCGAGCCAAATAATGGAGTGTTCAAACAAGTATGTGTTCTACACACAGTGTTTAAATGGCACCACATCGCATGAGTCACTACAGTAAAAAAAAAAAGTGGCCCTCAAAAATATAGTTTCAATAAATCAGCTGAACTAGGATACTGTATTGCTTTCTGGCTAGGTATTCTGTATTAGCAAAATACTGCTGTGTCTGAAGAGCAGCTCAGAAGTAGAACAATTGATTCCTGCTAATGGAATCCCTACCTACTGCTCATATAAATATTTAAATGCACACAGAAGTGGGTATTTCAGAAATGTATGGCTGGTTGATTTAAAGAAAAAATAAGGAACTAAAGGTAACTAAGGTCTCACTAAATGTAACGTTACAGACGGGCAGTACAGAGGGCGAAGCAGAAGTCCTTGCACTGGCGCTGGGGGTAGTTTGGTCAGAGGAGGGTTAGGGAGTTGTCAGCGTATCTAGGCAAGGGGGTCAGATCGGTTGCTGAAGCTCAGTTATCCAGGGCTGGTGAGTTGCTGGTAAAAGGCAGAGGAGCAGGGAGCTGCCTCTGGTTGCAGAGAGCAGCCGGCGTTCGCCCAGGCAGCTGTCTGAGGCAAGCACTGTGACTCCCCCCAGACAGCGTGTGTTCCAGATGCAGTGCCGTCTGTGCCTTCGCATGTGACTAATGGAAAGGCCTCATTTATTTCTCTGGTTGTAACAGAATATCTAAGACCACTGGTATTGCTAACTCATTTGGGAGAAATTGCTTTTATTTCATGGTGCATGCTGTGTTTTCTTATGATTGTTAGTAATAATTGTTATGATTGTCCAGTCCAGGCTAATCTAATGGTTCAGAACCGATACGGGGAGACCAGCCCAGGAGATACACACCTCTGGGGAACAGCACTACATTCTTTGGAAGTTTCTGTGAACACTGAACACATTTTGTTCCAAGTCACATTCGGGCAAAGTTCCCATAAATTAAGAAATACAGTTGACAGAGCCTTGGGGAAAACAACAGTTAAGGTGTGAGACCCACCTATGGGGCATAATATTTTATCATGACTTCTATTTGGTAGAGTTCCAAGTACAACACACGTTAGGGTCACTCACAGTGCAAAAATCTGTCCTTCAAAGGGCTGAGGCTTGTAATGCAAACTGACAGCACAAGCCACCCCAGCCAGTCTGCTGTCTCACATCATTATTGGCTTCAGGAGAGAACTTTTTACTTTTAATTCTTTTAGAAATTTCTCTTTTTCTGGACATTCCAACTCCATCACTCCTGCTTCTCCTCTCCAGGAGCCTTTGGTATCTCTGTTCAGGTAACAAAATTTATTCGTTGTTGTCCACACTTGAACAAATACGATGTAGAGCCAGTATATTTGAGCACATGGATTTTGAAAGTCAATTTAACGGAAGTTTTTCATTTTTAAAAAAACAGTGCGTAGGGTCATTATTATAGACATTTCTCTCCATCCAGAGTTAAGAGACAAAATCAGGTAAGTGTTGAAGCAGTGGTCACTGTAAATTCAGAGAGTTCACAAAGCATCAGTTTCTTTTTTCGTAACTAAAAGCTTTAGGGCAGAACAGCTGTGAAATTAATAGAAGAGGTTTGTATTACTTATCAGTGTTTATTTTTGCAAAAGTTTTGGATTTTAATTGTGGAAAAATTCCCCATTTAAAACATTTTTAAAGCTTTTAAAATCATGCAATATTGACTCTGGGTATCATGAGCTTAACTCATACACATATAGAAACATTCCTTCTAGTACATGAATCCGTTCACAGACGATGATGATGAAGTGTGTCAGCTTGCAAGACCAGCTAAACCTTCACTGAAATACAGACAAAATTCTAAATGTAAGGGTTTTCTGAAATGTCTGCCTTCACAAATTAGATGTGGACTTCTGTGTGTAAGCCTTTTAGTATGTCAACAAGACTAGAAACACTGAACTGTTCTGAGAAAGTGTATGAATACAGTATTCCAAGGTCAGTTGAACTCTGATTTCTGTAGAAGAACAGTTTCTATTAGGAAATCGCCAGATCAAAGATATATGGTGAAATGCTTAAAATTTTAGAAGTCTGTAAGAGCCAGATCTAAATTTTCCACTGTTCTAAAAACAGAAAGGGAGCTCTGCACCATTATTTATCGCGTTGTGCAGGGATGTGCTGTGTTCTGTTACTTGGGATTTAATCCAGGAGTGTGTTCAGCTATGTATTAGTAGCAAGCGCTGAGTTATAAGCCATCAGAGAAGCAAAAGACAGGACAGAAATAAATTCTTGGCTGCAATTGCCCCTTTAAAAAAGAACAGGAATTTTGAGAGGGGAGGGAAGGAGTTTCCTTGTCCCCAGTGGAGTATATTATTCTCTGCAAACAGGTAAACCAACCCTGGCTCATGAAGATACTTCAGAATAGGAAATGTTTTGCCTTTGAAATGTACCAGATTACATGTCATTTCAAATAGTGTTCGTGGCAAAGGTACCCCTGGGACCACCTTACAAGAGCTTTATTTCTTGCTTGCAAATTAGTCAGTTCAAAACACTTCTCCTCTCATCTCTGCCTTCAGCTCTTAATACCACACACGCCATTTGTAAAATAGGGGATAAGAATGAAAAGCTCCCGAATACAAAAGTGCAATTAAAAAAAATAAAACAGAAGACTGTAAAGGCAAGAACAAGACGGGTTTCAGCCGACAAGGAAAAGAATGAAATTTTGGTGCATTTTTGGAGGCATTTCAATAAACCCTCTTTTTTTCCGTTTCAGTGGGGGCTCATTGAAACAGTGATGTTTTCCGAGTGCCAGACAGACAATAGCATCTAAATTATTTTTAAGAAAGCACTCATAGCACTAAGCACCCACTACTACTAAATCCGTCTTAGAGGAGAAGGGTGGAGGAAGAAGAAAGGTCAACAAATGTATCAAGTTCTTTGTGTAATGCCTCACTGACATTTTCCAACTCACTCAGCTGGCTTTTATTTTTTTATTTTTTTTTTTCAGAATCCTGATAAAATGCAGTAAAGGATTTAAGGTTATCATCTGTCTCTCTCTAACTTCTGACATCTCTTTATAACAAGAAAGAGTCACAGCCAACTGTAACAGGAGGGCAGCACAATGAATCCTGGTAAGGCAGGGAAGGGGGGAGGTTCAACTTTGCTGCCCCTTCGCCCCTATTTCTTCCTCACAGAACAGAAGTGCCATCTGTTCCTCGCCATAACATGCATGCGTTTGATTTCCATTCAGTAATAACTAACACAGGAAAAAGATTATCAAGCGATCTAAAGCGCTATCAGCATTAGCCAGTCTTCCCCGTCCAGTGTTTTGTTTGCATCTCCGAAGATCTGCAGATGAAATGGATACGGGCAAGTGCCTTAATTGCCTAGAATTATTCTGTTCTCTGGTAGAGGACCATATGGTGAAGGTGTGGAACATGACCAGACTAAGGATATTTAGGTGCTTGGGTCAGAAAGAGTTTTAAGCAAATCAAACGAGAGGATAGATGTTTAGATTCTCCAACCTGAGTTCAGTACACCAATCTCTATTACTCGGTGCTGTAATACATCATTGTATTCATGCAAAATCAAGTCCCAGTGTGTTGTGTGAGGATGGACAGTCAGTATTAAAGTATGAGCCTGTTTCAAGAGAATCTGCTAAAATTTTTCTTAGGCTTCACAGTGAAATCTGTCGCATTCACAAGTGAAAAGCCAAACCCACCAAACACCTAGTCCAGCAACCTCGGTTTAAGATCCAAAAACCCCATGAGAAGATCTTTTCTTTATAACTCTCTTGCAGGTGCTGAAGACCCCGTTGATCCCTCAGTTTTGCCCAGTTGTGCTTGATGTCTCATTGGTGAAAGCAACAGGGTGCAGCACCAGAGTCAGCCGAGGAAAGGTACCTACAATGTGCTGTTTGCAAAGCAGGGTGATGATTAAACAATAGGTGCGGTGGGATTTATCTGAAGTCCCAGCCTTTCAGGCATTGCAGTGCTCTCTCCTCTCGCTCTCTAAACCTGACTATTTTAGCAGTCTCTCATTTCTTCATCTTCTCATCTTTTCCCCCTTTGCTGCTGCTGCCTGCCCACCTTGTTACTTAAAGCACTTCTATGGCTGGAAACTGACCATGTTGTGAGACACCAGCGTTCATCCCAAGGACTGGGGAAGGACCTCAAGCATGGGAGAAGCATTACTGTTATTTTGTAAATAAACTTGTAAAATGGTTCAAGAGGGCAAAGCTGAGAAAATGGCTAGTGAGTTGCTTTAGACTAGCTTATTTTGCACAAGTCAAATACTGCTGGAGCTGTATCTGAAATCTGAAGCTGATCTGTCTGGCAAACCTATTGATGTCTACATTGTCAAAATACATGAGACAACATTTCATTTCTCCAAATTTCCATTAATTTCGTTGCCTTATTTTCTTTCTTTTCCTCCTACACCACGATGACATTTTAAAGTGTACTTCTAAGAGCATAATTTGATCAAATGATCCAAGGGAACTCCCTATAGACATCCGTGATTTAATGCTAGATCTGTTCTAAAGGCTGGCACGCCTGGTGATGGCAATTGATTTAACCCCAGTTGTGTTTTAGATAACAAATACAGTGTGTTTTTTCTGAGTCAGAACTGTGTTTTGTTTACACAGCTCAGTCAGAAATGCGTCAAATAAAGGCAGGGTCCAGCCACACGTGGTGGTGAGCATCCTGAGCACCCAACCTCGAGCAGAGCAGGAGGTGCTCAGCACCTTGCTGGAACTGGCCATTGTGCATGTCCCCCTGTGAGGTGCTTGGAGGTGACCTACAGGAGACTGGGCAGGAATTCTGTGGTTGGCTGAATTACTGTTCAGTACAGTAGATACTCTGTCCTTTGAAAATAAGTAGGGTCAGCAGCTGAATCTGAATTTCTTGGTCCTCTCTTTCCCTTCTCCATTTGGGATTTCACTTTCCAGCACACAGCACATGCGCTGGAAGACAAAGAAGCCTCTTTCATTAGGTTAGTATTTTCATCCTGGTTCTGACTTGCATCCGTGCAGGCTTTGGGCTCCTCTGCTCTGTACCCGTTTGTCACTCTTTTCAGTGGGAAGAAGGGAACTCTTGGTATGGGTGCAAAACTTAGAAGACGTGTGCCGAGTAAGAGCAAGGGCACAGCTGCACAAGACTCGGCGTACTTCTCACGGACAAAATGCAGTGAAGGAAAAGATGGCACTTCAAGCTAAATCGGAGATCATTATATGATACTCTTTGCATTCAGCTCGTTCTAGGAGGAATATGTACATGTGGCAGCAGCACTCGGGACATGAAGGGCTACTTTGAAAGTAGATGGTGGCTCCCAATGTTTGAGATGAAGATGGATAGTGGAGAGTGAGAAAACCAGCTGTCCCCGCAGAGGTGCCCCCCTGCCACAGACATGTCTGTGAAACCGTGCGTTTCTCTCCTTAACAAGAGAGCAGCCGGGGCTGGCTGAGAGCAAAGGCAGCTTGTAGGAAGCGTTTCAGACTGAGATTGGCTGCCTGAGGAGGAGGTTTGCAGGGTCCCGGCAGAGCTGGTGAGCAGCAGGAACAGCTCGGGCTACACAGGGAGACCCAAGCAGAAGGACACTAACCTGTCCATGTTCTCTCCTACAGTGGAGGGCCTGAAAATCATTAGGCAAAGGGCTGTTCTGTGGGCTGCGGGGCCACACGTACAGGTACACACACACAGTCATCAACGGGAGCTCGTGCAGGGCTCCTGCTGCACCGGGAGAGCCAACTGGGCTGGGAATGTAAGATTTTTCTCTTTTAAACAGACAGATGTGAATGATAGCTGGGGGCGTAATGCAGGCGGTCGGTGTCTTTACACTCAGACTCAGGTTGTCAGAGGGCTTTGCTGGCTGCACTGCCCTGTGAAGTACAGCAGTAAAAGGCTGTGACAGGAAGGAAAGAAAGGTGTAAGCTGGTGGTAGCACTAGATTAAAACAGCAGCACGCAAACACACTGACCTCTTCCTGAGTGGTAACCTTGAGTGAGGGCTAATTCACCGGATTGATTTTATTCAGCTTGCCCATGAGAAAATACAGCACAGCAGCATTGACTGCAACTGGCCAAAACTGCGTGCGAGCTTCAGTGGTTTTTATGGTGTTTATTTCAGCTTCCAGGAACCTTAAAGATATTGGCGATGTTAAGATGTAGTGTTACACTCAAAGTCTTCTTTTTGGCTAAAGGGTATTGGCAAAAGGCACAATATATAAAGATCAAAGAATTTATTGTTAGTCCAATTAATGTTTTGAACAGTTAATAGTCAAAATTACTTAATGAATGCAGGGAGGCCTCATTAAAAATGGAGTTAAAATTGGCACACAAAACTTTCCCTATTCTTTAGTGTTGTGCTTACTCCTCCAGTGCTCCTTTGGGTCTTAAGATTGACACTTCGGTATTTCTCAAAAGGAATGGGGGAGTATTATGATGAGTCATCACAGGGAGGAGTGTGGTATTCATGGGAGGGGGATGTCTTTCTCCTCAGTCTGGTGTCTGCTTGGATTTAATTTTATATGTTTTCTTAACACAATCAGCTTACTGTGATTAAATGACTGATTTGTATCATCTGTGTCTGCACTCTTCCCCACGACTCAATCTAGAGCTATAGGCAATTCAGTCCACAATGAATAACCGTTTGTTATTACTATAAACTAGGGTTAAGCTAAAACAAATCTAGTCAAGAGTATCTCAAAGCTGGAGGTACTCATTGCTAAAACAAGTTAAAATTTACTGAGGCCCAGAGAAACCCAGGGAATTGCTGAGACCCTACGTTCTCATGTCAATACAAACCTTATTGCTTTTTACTAATAATGGCAAAATCACATTTACTGGGCTATAAAGTCCCCTTGGATCATTTGTGAATTGCGGAGTTCAGCAAGGATTTGCAAACCCTCCTATAACTGCAGAATTGTGACTGAGCAGCAGATCTTGGAAGCATTCACGCTTTCCTGTCTTCTCTTGAATCAGGATGATCTATATAGGTCTGATTGACCTGTATTTCTTCATTGCCATTGGGAGACCAGCTAATAAAAAGTGTTTGATTTTCATCACCAATATAATTTGCACAATGAGGAGGAATTCTGTGATTATTAAAATGAGAGCTATAAGTTGTAGAGCCAAGTTAAAAATTCCTATAGCTGTAGGAGACTATAGTGTAACCTATAAGGGTATAGGATAATTAAGATCACATGTTTGACTCTAAGATTCATTTCTCTCTCTCTTACACACACACACACATGAGGTAATGCACAACAATTTCTGGAATTGGGTCTGTACACAAACACAAGTAAATCCCATATGTATGATTAGAGATTGATTAGAAACAGAAGGAGAAATGTCATAGTCACATCTGGTTAACTTTTGAGCTAAGCAATCATCTGAAGACTGAAAACTAATATCTTCACATATCTGTTGCATATTTCAATGCTATTTTCTAGCATTCTTCTGAAAAGACTCACTGGAATATTCCATTTTCTTTGACAGTCTGTGTTCACAGATGCACATCTTTAATATCAGAAACACTTGTTACACATTTCCAAAATTATCTGATCAGCTTCTTGGTAACAAAAAGAACTTTTCCGTCAACTTGGTACATGACTACATATCTTACACATATGCAGTGTTTTCAGCATGTGCTGAAGTCAAGATGTTTTAAAATACCTCCAATACAATAGTACATAAATGGAGCATTTATTTTAGAAATATGATTTTCCATGGCAAAACAGTTTATACCTTGTTGATCCGTCTTTGCTTCTATGTTTTATAAGCACTCAAAGTTTCAACCACACTTGTAAACGTATGTATATTTTAATGTTACAAGTATAGACGTTCATATCTTGGTGATCTGTCAAGCGTGATCACTTTCAATGAGAGGACACACAGTCCTCCTCTGGAGGAACCTCACCTTGAGAGCGCCACAACCTCCCAGGGCCCCCCTCCAACGTTTCACCATCCTTTTGGTAAAGAATTTTTCCCAATTCCTGGTCAAGGTTTCCCATGTTCTCACTTCTACCCGTTGCCTCTTCCCACTCTTGCGCACCTGTCAGAAACACCTGGCTGAGTCTTCTCTGTAGCCTCTTATGAAGTATTTCCAGGCAGCAATAAATCCCCCCCACCCTCTTGGCCTTTTCAAAGCTGAAGAATCGCAGCTCCCTCATCCTCTCCTTGCGTGCGGCCTGCTCCAGGCTCCGCTGGATTAGCGCCAGCAGGTTACTGTCCTCTTTCTACTGGAGGAGATACAGTAATTAAATTCATACTTTTCATTTATAACATCTATTTTTGTTCATATTTTTACTGATAGTGTAACACTTGTAACTTGTTCTACATTTGTACCCGCTTCTTGAGTTTTATCCTGTTCAGTTTAGTTGGATGTACTCCTACTTCAGCTTCCAGTTTCACTCCTCTGAAGTCCAAATTTCTCCTTGCACTGCCGGTTCTTCAGTTAACCTCATTTGCCACTAACCAGACAGCCCATGTTTCAGTACATTATAGGCTTTTCAAGAGAAAAATTTAGATTTCGTTTTCCTTTTAATTTTGCAAAATCTTGCTTCCTGCAAGAAGCTCGACCCCAAGGATATAGGTCCCTCTGAAGAGCTGAATGACACACTAGCCTTGGACCAACAAAGTTTAATGAGGAGAATACTTCTAAAGAAGATCCAGGATTTGAAATTTAGGAGAGTAGCAGAGCTCTTCTGAGTTTGCTTCTGCAAAATTTGTGACAGCATTTGGCTATGTGATATCCTGGTATGGAGTGTTCCTGAATTGCCACTATAGTCAATGAGAACAAAGGATACTTGGGACTTAGCAGAAAGTATTTTTTCCTTTTGAAGGCTCAAGCTCCTGAAGGACCCCCCCACTGTTAGGAATATGACCGCTTCAGGTACTTAAAATTATTTAATTAGCATTATAAATGTTAGAAAGAACACAGTTGACAAATCATTCTAGCAAAGGTAATGGAAGTAATCGCAGGTGTCACAGACTTTTGTACAAAATATGGTGTTCCCAAAATTTGTTTTTAAGTGTTTTAAAAGACTGTATAAAGAAGTGAAGCATGCAAGCAGGCTATCAGGCAGTGGGTTTTTTTTTTTCCCTCAGTGTTTTTTTTGTGGCCTAAGAATAGAAGGAACATGTAGCAAGCATCTTGCTATTAAATTTGCCCATGACAAATAGTGCAGCTGCATGTGATGTGCAAGAACATCTGTAGGATCATGACACATGGAGAATCCCCCACACTAAGATCGTGACATTATACTGAAAACAAGTCAGTTGTAAAAGCAATATAAATCCATTTTATATAATCTTTCTCCACCTTCTCATCCCCCTTCTCCTTTGAATTATGATAATTAAAGGATTATGTCTTCTCCTTCATGGCATCAGTAAAAAATCACAATACGGAAGTGACTAAGCATTTCAGGATTGTCCCCTTTTTTCATTAACAGTTGGAATGCAAGTGTGTCTTTCTTGAAGAAATAGAAGGTTTAAGAAAGAATAAGCAGTGGCAGAAATGCACTAGAGACACCAGAGCTTACGCCAAGTGGAACTTGACACAGCTTGCAGGTGCAATTTAACTCTTCAGAAATCAAGGGGTGATTTTCTGTGTCCCTGGATCTTGTGTGGTTTTTCAGTTCAAAGTGAGCTGTAGGATTGCTACCAGACTTTACTGCACCCATGTAAATGACAGCACAAAATACAGTTATATGGAAGTATATGTCTAAAACGTGTAGATTTCTAAAGCAAGGGGAAGCTCCTTGCCTGGGATTTTGTGAGTTCCCACAGCTTACCATTCAAATGCAGCTATTGTGGAATTTGGTAAAAGCTCCTTTAAGCTCCACATGGTCACAAATAAGGACTGTGCCTTTTTCAAAATCCTTGAAGGCTTTTATTTTCCCCAAAATTACTTTAACAGAATGTTTGCTTCCTTCTTCTAAATATTCTTCTTTTTGCTCTCTGAAATAGTTTCTTTGCTATCTTTAGACTTATTAAAGTAAGAAGTTTTATAATGGCAATGCAAAAACTGATTTTTGTAAAGTCTGAGGTAGTCTAAAGACTGTGTGATGAGAATACCATGGCAGGGCAAACACATGCATGCTATTAATGCCTGGATCATCGTTAACTCATTTCTCTGGAAACCCCTTACCTTCAGCTGCTAGGACAGCTCAGGCATGATAACTACATGAAGCTCCAAGTCCATTTCCACACCCTTTATGCAGGCTGCAGGGCAAGCCTGAAGCTGTAAGAGTCAGCCAGATGGGTCATAATTTTCAACTCTATTAAATTCCTGCACCTTAACTGCAAAAACACAACCCTTGTGAGAGATTTCCTTAATGATTTTATTGATAGCTTACATTTTGAGTTTACTGACTTGCTGATACTCTTTGGTCAAGTCCTTTAAACTGTGCTTCATTTGCCATCTGAATAAAGCCTTGTTTTCCTATTTCAGGGAGACATGCTGTGCGGAAATTAGATGGTTTTTAAAGCACTCTGATGATGGAAAAGATACGCAAGTACAAGTGATATCACCTGACAACATTTGCTTACTATTAAGGGTATATTTATCTCTTAATTAAATTAGATATGATTCCTCATTTACTAATGCAATGATTTTTAACATCCACTTCCCGGTTTGCATGTTCAGTAACTGCTTGCACAAGATATATAATCATGTGCATCACCATAGCAGAAAGGAATATCATACGCCCTGCAAAGCAGTTACAGAGTTGGAAAATGCTCTTATTAACTTTTCAATATCCCTGACTTTCACGTGGAGAAGTGCACATTCAGGGGCCAGATGCTACTGCAGCAACTGTGGCCACTCCAGGCTAGAAATGAGTGATGCACTCTGCTCACTAATCCTTCCACTGGTGGTGCTTGAGTTTTAGCTGGTCTCTTGGGTCAGTGGTCCAACAGACACAAACAGCTCCAAGTAGTCCTGGGGTCCAGCTAGCAATATCAATAGTGATACAATTTTTAACAACTTAGAACTATAATGAGTTGTGGGAAAATGTACCAGCGAAAGCTATATTTATATGGTATGTAAACCAGAACACTAAAATTCCCCTCTAGCAGCTTCTACTTTAAATAAATTAGAAGAATAAATTATGGTGATTTGAAAGTTTTATTTTATTTTTCTTGTGATGGAGACACAGTGGTTCTTGGAGAGTAGACACATACACATGGATATATTAATCATGGATAAGTGATTTGAAAAATATAGATTATGAAATAAATACAGTTCTAAAAAATAAATGTATTTGGTTTAGATCCAAAGGAGCCAAATTCAGTATCAAAATAATTAACAATGTACTGATCTAATTCTTTTAGTTGTTTGTCTTCATGTCTATTTCTGCTGCTGCAAGTCTTTTTGTTTACAGCTTCTCAGCCAGAAGAATATCCTGAAGGAAATTACTGTCAGCATCCAAAAAAAGTATCTGCAATTCATCCTAAAGAACTGTCAACTTAAAGTATTTTTCTGCTTTTTGAGTTCAGGCTGAAGTGGTAAGTTTGAAAATCCATAAATCAAATCATATTACTAAAGGAAATATGTATCTCTTTTTTCAAATACTCCATTTTCCTAAAACTTCATTGTAAGCATAGATTTTAATAATTAAATCTTCAATTACTAGAAACAGGAAGGAAATATTGTGAACTGTATTCTGTACATTGTTGGAAGGCAGACAATAGAAAAACCAGCTAACTATTGCCAATTCAACCCTAATTAATGCACTGACTGATCTATGACTGATGGGTTCCTACAGTTATGTCTGGGAGGAGCCGTACACAGGCCATGTCAGCCTCCTTCACCGAAGAAAACTTTTGGGGTGCTAATCCCCAATTGGTGGAGCTACCTGTTGAGCAGAAATACCAGGATGGCACCCAAAGTGTCACACCTCAAAATGTTCCCAAATTCAGGACATACCTGCGATGCAGCACATGAACACGGAGGTGTTGTGCCATCTGCGTTTGCAGGTGTTTAAAAGCCTTACTTTGGTGAAGTTGCTGCTTGATTTACAGTTATTAACACTTGTATTTCAGCACTGAGGCAGGGAAACTGCGTGCTGCTACGGGTACTGAGAAGCAAACAAGAAGTAACAGGTATGTGTAGGACCCTGAACCTTAGTGACAGCTCTAGTGGGTGCTTATGGGGAGATTCTTTTGTCAATGAAACAGTCCCTTGAAAACAGTCCCTGCCTTTACCGTGTCATTTAGTCTGTTTAATCGCACGCAGCAGCTTGTCAGCCCACCATCGATTCCGTGCCCGGCAGCTGGTCCCTGAAGGCAATGGCCCTACAGGCACAGACTGGGTGCCCTCCATGTCCCCTTACCTGCAGAGCCTTTGATGCAAAAGGTGTGGGACCAGGAGGAGGAGGAATTTGTTTTGCATGGCTTCAAAAACCTTAGAATTTGGTGGTTTCAGGTGTGGGGTTTTGCTGAGTTCAGTTGTAATGGTGAAGGTCATTTATTAATTCAAAAGCTGAATCCAAGTTGGTGTTCTGGTGTCCTCTGAAGCCTCTTCTGTGCAACTCTTGGCTTCCTATCATGGGTATATTTACATCTTTGTGTCCACAGTTCAGCTCTGTGTATCTACTGTCCATAAGCAGATTTTACAGATTCAGAATGGGAAGCAGATTTGCACACAAGCAAGCCTACATTATTTGTAGGCTAATGAATGGCATCTGAGATCACCAAGACAATTCTGTTCCTACCTGTGTTGTGATTCCAGAGCCATCTCCCGGGTTGTGTTTTTCTAGATGTATAGTAGCAGAAATGAGTGTGTTCCTCTGAGCACAGTGAGGAGCACGTGTGTGTATTTGTGTATTGGGCTCACCCTCCTGAGGCCAGCAAAAGGCACGCTGTGCTGGGAGGTCCCCAGTGTGTGCCAGCACCATGCCAGGCACCTGTGACAGATGTCAGAGTAATGCAGACACTCATGAAACGTCCTCAGCCTGGGCTTGCCAAATGTTCCAACGCTGACCTCACACATCCCAAGTAACAACAAAGTTGATTCAAGTTCTTTCGGTCTGGAAGTCCCATTTAGAGACCAGATTTGGAAGCTTCTGTGGAGAATTGGTGAAAAATCTGTTGAAACCTGAGTGCAGGAACAGAGGCCTGGCAGTCAGGGGGAGCAAGATGCCATTTCTGCTCTTCTGCAGTGGGGAAAAACATGCAGAATTCATTGCCCCAGAACACAGGTTAATGCCACAGGAAGAAGGAAACCTCAGCGTGCATTCAGACTCAGAGCTGCAACTAACATTTACTGAATAGCAGCCACTTTCTGAGGCTCAACACGCTATGAAAATCCTCCTTGAATCAAATGCTCCCGGGGGAGCAAGAAATTAAAGCAGCTCTTCCACCCCGGGCTGGTGCATACCACCAGATCGATACTCGGCATAAAGAGCTTTCTCCTTGTTGCTGCAGTTTGGGGGTGGCATCAGGGAGGACGCTCCTCGTCACCAGCAAAACCAACAGGCAACATGTAAGGTAATGTGAGAAAATGAAGGCAGCAATAAAGAAGAGGTGGAAGGTGCAGCTCTGAGTGGGGCACTGTGATGGCTGAATTTGAAAGCGTTTTGCTTCTCAGCTTGAACTTTTTAATTAACGAATTTCACAGTAATTCCCAGTCTAAGCTTAAAGAGTAATAATTTCAGTGCTCTGCCTCGCTAAATACTTTCTTGCAGTCTAACTAAGCAGCAAAGATCAGAGCCGAAGGAATTCAGTGCCATTGCATTAACAGCACTTTGTCTCCAGCCTGCGCTGCAGGTAAGTGCTGTCCTGTGGCAACCTTCTTGGGGTCAAGTGATTTAGAGAGCTTAGAGAAGGCCACGTAATAGGCTTGGGCTTTGGATCCCTATGTGCTCAGACACAATCCTGAGTAGCAGAGGCTGTGAGGAAACATTTTCTGTCATTTGCCAGAGGGGCAGGGGAGGGAAGGGAGGATGCCTGGTAGCTGTAGGAGGGGCAATAGGTGCAGCTAAACTAGAAGGAGGGGAAGGGCTCAGGAATATAATGAGGAGGTGGGGGAAATGACACTGGAATAAAAGGGTGAGTGAGTATATGAGCTAGATACCCACTCATCCTGGCCTTCCTCTGTTCAAAGCACTCCCTCAAAGGGTGGGCACAAGACTTGAACAGAGGGGATAGATGTCAAAATATTGCCATAAGGAATATAGTGTAATAAATCAGAGAAAAAGGGCAGAATGGAGGCAAGGAGCAAATGGTAGGAGAATTATTTTTATTCTAAGTGAATGATTATGTCTCCTGGGTGATTACACATCAGGATGGTAGTGTGCTGGGAAGAACTATTCAGCTAGATAGAAAGGAGGAGTGCTCAAATTGCAATCATTGAACTACAGCGCATGCAAGGGTGTAAATAAGATAAGAAAGGGTCAAATAGACAAGTCAAAATCCAGATAGAGTTAATGTGTCCAGGGCACTGCAATCCTTGCCAGTTAAGATAACTATCATACAGGTGTAGGAAGACAGAAGAAGATACTTTGAATATTTGCGGAACGTAATCAGAGAGATAGCTGATGGAAAAAACAACAGACTATTAAAAAATACTTTGAACATAAATAACTTGCAAGTACTAGGTCAAATACATATAATTTCTTCCAAGTTGTCTACCAAAACAGGGCCTCCAGCAAAAAATACCTGCTGTATAACACATACCTATAAAAATCATACCAGTATAGGGCTGGCGAAAAGACAAGGGATACAATGTCATGTACTGTATCCCATTCATTATACTTCCATAAGCTTAAAGTAGGAAAATGCTTTAGGAGAGTTCTTATGGTTCTGGGGCATTAAAAAAACACCTTGTGCAACATCTGGAGTTCAGAAAAAAAGAGTTGCAGTGTTTCCTTGACAGCTCAGCAGCTGGTTTTACTCTCACTAGTACTTGCAGCTGCCAACTAGCTCTTTCCTTTTTTGGCCCAAATAGATAACTTTTAAATCTGACCCAGGCTTAACTTTTATCCATGTGATCCCTGTAGCTGGGCGTTGATCAGTATATGCCAATGATGACTATACCTGTAAGACCAGGGGCTTTTTGTGTGGCCACAGTATTGCTAGGCCCTGCCGTCATTTTTCTGTTTAGCAATCGTGTCATCCGTCTGCACAGCGACTGGATCAAGGCCTTTTGTTCCTGGAATGGGGACCGAGAAAAATAAAGGTTAAGTTTTAAATTCCTAGTTTGAGAGGCTGGTGTGTTTCAGCATTCACTCGATTTCTGTAAGAATAAGCAATATCAGTAGGAAAAACACTTCTCCTCACTTGATTTAAAAGTCAGGAAAAAACAGATGAGGATTCCTGTGCTGAATTCAACAGTTCTTAAATTTGCCTCCACGAGGTTATTGGGAACTTAGTGCTGGGTGGTTTCTGCACTCATCTTTGCTCCATGTGGTCCTGGTCAGCAAGGTCAGCAATTACTATGGGAACCTCTGCCAGTTATGCTTTCAGATGTTTAAAATTACAGTTATATTACTTTATTTACATGCTTGTATTTTATTTTCAGGTGTTTCAATGAGAACACAGAAGGTTATGTCGCAGCACCTTTTTTCTACAGATTAAGGGAGACTGTTCTAACACTCCTGGCTTCTGCTGCCCAGGTACCCCTTTGGTCCTGTGGAGAGTCACACAGTGCTCATCAGATGATGTGCAGCCTCTTATGTCCACTGGTATATGGGAGTAAAGCAAGGAAAAGAGAATACCAAAGCGTTAGTGGTTTGGTGTCCCTGACACACAGTGTAGGAAGTTGAAAGAAACTGCAAAAACTCTGAGTTATTTTCTGTAGTAGCCTGGCATTCAGAGGGACTCAGGATATGGAGACAGACCATGCCACTGCATGCTGTTTCCCTGCTTCCCCAGGCTAGCTTTCTGGGGAAAGTTAATGATTCATAAGATTCTGCACTGATTTCACTGTGAGCTTCCACATTTGCATAAGTAAAAGCTTGTGCAGCTTCTGTGGGGAGATTCTTAGTGAAATTGCAGTACAAAACATTGATATTATGTAATTATAGTAGTTCATCGTAACTTAAATGAAATTGTTACTTTAAACTTGCTCTAAGTGGCTCACAATGGAACTTTTGTATGACACACCTACAAAACAAATGAGTTAATCACAATATGTGTCATTTTTAATTTTTCTCTTTCATTTTTCCTTCAGTCATTCTCTCTTTGTAATTAGCATGAAGACTATCCTTCAGTCAAAACTAGCCACCTGGAAAGTTTCAGCTTGTAATATGCAGCTTTTTTTTTTGTGAATTATGAATGTGCAAAAAGAGAGACCTTTCTCCCCACACCCCCTTCCTTGCATAATTCAAATGTGAGTGAATGAATTTTATTCAGACTCATCAAAAAGAAAAAAAAATCATATTTCAGCTGATAACAAGCATGAAATATTTCAGATGAAAGAGGTTTTTTTTTAAAAAGAAGAGTATTATGAGCATGGGAGAACAGCAGGTTAAGACGGAAGTCTCAGTGCTGCCTTAACTGTAACAATTGCTAGCAAGCAAATACTATATCCCAGCACTAAATCTTGCTTTGTGCTGCCCTGGTGCACAGTAGTGGGGAGAGAATAGAATAATAAAAGCCGGTCCCCTTATGCAAACAGCAGGGCATAGCACTCAACAGAATACAAGAAGAAGGTGAGCCTGCCTACTGTTCTGGCTTGCTAACCATATTCCCGAGGTCTGTGGGTTAGTTGTCACCTCTAGCTCCAGCCAGCGAGCAAATGTACTTCAAACAGTAGCAAGGGGCACGTTTTGGTCCTTCCCAGAAGAACATTTTACCAATTCATTGCCTCCACATACACTGTTCTATTAAATAAAGTATTTGAAGGAAGTTCATATAAGCAACACGGTGGTTTAACAGGTCAAAAAGGGAATGGAACAGCTGCTAGACATTTTCTGATTAACCATGTATTTTTAAAAATATGGAGCTGTGAAGAAGGTATTACATGCAAACCCTCACTTACCTTACTGTTTTTCAAGCAAAGTAGGCTGAGATTTTGGCTCACGCCTGTACAACTTTGAAAATGAACTAATGCAGGAATGAAAGACTGTGATCTGGAACGCATTTCTGCATCACATTTTCTCTTGTTCCTAATACTGCTCAGTTGATAAGCCGAGCTCTCGTTTACTACCTCGAAAAAGGGATTAAAGAAACATTCATTTACTAACTGTTTATCAAAGAGCTGCCCACTACCGTGGCTAAACAGTATTCAGTACTTCAGTATTACCTTAGGGATTCACGTTGATTAGAGGAGCAACAGGAAGGATTTGCGTGTGGCATAAAAAAATCCCCTTCTGTTCTGACAGGAGTTGACTGTTGCAAGTTGAGTTTGGCAGTAAGTGACCAAAATTGAGTTGTCAGCATCCTCTTGCATAGTGGAAAAAGTTGTTCCTTTCTTGTGCAGATGCACGAGTTTCTGTGGGAAAACAGAACATAATCACGGTTCTGAATGTCTCTGTGGATTGGTAATGTCTCTAATACATAGATCACTTGTGCAAATTCAGTCCCAGCTGGATGGGAAATTATTGAAAATGGTTGTTGTTTGATTGATATAAAATGAGTTGTCAGCTTGATTCAATGCCTCCAGGGCAGATGTCCGCAGCATAATTGGCACCTGTCAGAAGCAAAGAATTCCTTGGTACAGAGTAACAACTACTCATGCAACCACCCAAAATAGTCCTTGCGTGCCAGGGCTCAGAGAAGGCAGCAGGAAAAAACAGTTTCTACTTTTGGGCAGGATCTTTTATGCCATAAAGTCAATAAGAGATTTGATGTGACACTTGGTGCAAGCTTTTCCCTGGGATCCTGGCTAGATGCTATCAGCTCTCCTGCTGTTTGGTCAACAGTTTCCCTAAGAATAAAAAAAACCCCACACGTTTGGCTATTTGTTACTATCGTCATGGTAAAGGTATATATATAAAGAATGGTTAATAAAGAAATCTTTACATATTTGCTTATTCTAAGAAATGTTGTGAACAATTTTATTTTCCCTTTTCTTGAGCAATTCTCATCACAGCAAAATAACTTTGCCACACAACTAGGGAAATCAGAGAGCGTCTTCTCAGCAAGAAGTAGGGCAAAGAAACAGCCAGGACTGAGAGTACAGCAGTGTCAGAATTACACTGTTTGTTAGTAGTAAACAGTGACCTGTTGTTTACCACAGACTCGATTAAAATGGATTTTTTTCCTATAAATCACCAAATAGCTGTCATATGGTTATTACTGCCTTTGACCGAGTGTGGTACAGCTAACAATAGGAACGAATTCAATTTTCCATCACCAATCTGTCGAGCTGGCCACCTTCTTCATGGAGCTGGTGCTTTGGGAGGTACCAGCTGAAGGGCTTTCCATTAAAATTCATTTTACTGTCTTCATCTAGCACATGGCTCAACTTTCCTTCTATGCTTTCATCTCTTTTTCCTCCTTTAGATTATTTTTCATTATGCCTCCCCCCCCAACATACACAGCCTTTGCCTTTCATCTCTATATGTATGCTATTCCAGCACTTGTCAGCCCCAGCAGGAGGGACATGCTAGAACCAAACAATATGATACGTTAGGTGGAAGAAAATATTATTATCAGACACCTTAGAATAATCATTTATTGTCACACTTTAAAGAGATCTGCTATGTTATTTATTTTACTATTTTGTATTAGGTGCATGGTTTAATTTTACAGGCATTATTAATCACTAAAATATATTACACTTTCAGCCCGGATGTTAACATTTTAAATGCATTCATCTTGCTTCTTTAAACAGAAACAATGGACCTTCTGCACAGCTCTCCCTCCCCTCTAGTCAATAAATCCTTTCTATTGATTCAGGAAGTAACTCTAAGCACTGTTTTATATTTTAAGTTCCACTAGCCACACTCAGCCATATAATTTCGCTTAATAACAAATGGATCTTCTATTTTTGCTGGTTACTACATGTTTGGTTATCAAACTCAGCTTGAAAGTACTGGGTAGAAGAGCACAAAACCTATAATGGCAGTGAAGCACCACAAGAGATTTCCTAAATGAATGTTACAATAACATAAAGTATCTGTAAAAAGAGAGTGTGTGTGCGCGCATGTGTATAAAAAGCAGCCTCATCAGTAGATGAATGATAAATGAAAAATCCATCAGTGCGTATGGATTCCCTTGAGCCAGCCTGGATCAACAGACAATATGGATTTTTGATAATTCATGGCTTTGCCATTATTTATTCTCTCCTGAAATACCCATTGCAAATCTCAGAGAGATAATTAGAGAATTATCATATTGCTTAACTAAGTAGTGCAAATTGTATTATATTCTCTGTATCCCAACCCAGGGCAGTATCATTAGCGTTGTTTAATTGTTACAAATATAGTCATCGCATTTTAATAAATTGCCTTCATTGTCAATATCTACAATCGACTATTTCTCTTCTCTTAATGTTCGTGGATAGGTTAGTTACCAGGTAATCTTACAGTTAATATATACCACAATGAGGCAAAATGTAAGAAAATGCAAAGGTCAAAAACATGTTTCTATTATGAAAAAAATGAATGATAATGACATAATTTTTTCAGCTCATCAGGTTCTTTGCTAAGTGCCTCTGTTATTGCCAGATCAGTAGTGTATAACAAAGAAGTGCTTTCTGTAGGCTGCTTCATTAGCCTGCCCTGTAGGACCTCACCTCAGACCTTTCACTAATCTGTTGGCCAGCTCAATAGCCTTGTTAGTTCTATTCACTTCTTCCTGGCAGCGGATTTTCTCAGCTGTAGCTCTCTCAAAGGCAGTGGTTAAGGCAGCCAGGATTGTGTCTAGTTCCTTCAAATAAAAACAGTAAGAAACAACTTTGGACATTGTAAGAACACATAAAAATATTTCTGCTGTCCCATTTTATATTTCTGAAAGTTAAATTACGCCGTGCAAGAAAGGCGTAAACATTAACCACACTCAGAATTTTGTCTAGGTCATGCTCCAAAGGTGGATTTGGGAAAACCTGGGGAAAAACGTGGCTGGTCTTCTAATTTCCCCCACTTGTTCAGAACAGCTTTCAAAATGAAATTACCAACTTGATCTTATATCAGTAAAAAAGGAATGTCACCTTCTCCTGGAGGATTCGGAAATGAAGTGAAATATATTTATTACAGCTGTATATCCTCTATAGGAGATCAAAACTTGGAAAGATGGTTGTTTGGAAACTAAAGAGAACAGAAAGGTTTAAAGATGATAGATAGAATACTTGAAAATGCACAAGCCAGTGTCCTTTGCTGACTTTCAGTTAGACTATGCTTCCCAGTGCACAAACTGTTTCTGAAAATACAGCCTGAAATCCCCAGCCACCGTAGGTTTGGGAGCAAGCAGCTCAGCATCTGGTCCATCAAAGCATTTAAGCACACAAACAGTCCCACTGGGTCAGAGCCTTAGTTATTCCCAGAGGGAGGAGTGGAAGATAATTCAGCATGGATGACTGAGCATGAGGACAAGGCAGGAATGACATGCACCTCAGGAGAGTTGCAGGCGAAGCACCCAAATGACTCTGAGCAGAGGATGAGCTGCTGGGGAGCTGATAAACGAAAGATCAGAAAGGTGCTGGAAGACCCCAAGGTAGTGAGGCACTCGAAAAGGGGTGTCGTTGGGTGCATGAGACACGAGCAAGCGGCCAGAGCCCGGGGCTGTCCAGGCAGCTGGTGAGACACACCTGAAAGAGGCACGACCCCTCCAGCAGCAAACTCGGGTCAGCAAATAGGTGTCCATGCAGCTCCACTGAGCCCGGCAATATTCCCCAGGAAAAGCCAGAGCTGAGCATGGCTCCTGGGAGAGGGCTGTGTTTTATCTCAGCTGTGCTGCTGCTGAGCTCTGTGCACCTTGGGGACAACCTGGGGACTGAGTCTCCCTAGACTAACACTGTGTGGTGCGAGGCACACCGACCCAATCCTGGCCCTCCTTCCCACACAGGGAAGATCCAGGCACTGCCTGGGAACTCACCGCACATGAAGACAAGCATCCGCTGTGGTCCCAAGGCATGGCATGTCACTGCAGAGGCCAGGGATGTGGCCCAATCATTTACCTGAAACTATTAAAAATGATAGTGAGGGATAAATTATACTGGCAAATGCCTTTGCTTTATACAAATAATCATACTGGAAATATGATATAATACCTTTCTCAGACAGAGAAAGGTATTATAAATAATTGAATTTGAGAAGCCTCTAAAATGACCAAAAAAAACTTTAATAATATGTTTAGTGGTCCTGACTTTAAAGTTCAGGCCCTTGGGCCAACCAGAATTCCAGCCTTCCTGAAGATTTCTGCACGCCTACAGCGCACGCCTACAAAGCTTGTTGCTCGATAATGTATATACATTGCCTATACACAAATGACAGCTGATAAATGGGTAGCAATAGGTCTGCAAGTGAGATCAAGGACCAGCACTTAAGCACTGAACCTAAGGGGACGGAGAGAGAAAAAAGCAGAAAAGCTACCTGCTGTGCTGAGCCTGGATGCTGCAGCTCTCATGGCAGGGAGAAGAACTTGCTTGAAGCTGTTTTTAGCAGGTCGTTCAGGAACCAGGAATGATTTTTTACTGCATTTTTGGCTCTACTGAGCCAGGCTGAAAGACATTGTGTGCTACGCTGCCCTCAGACAATTCAATGCTCAGCAAATCTTCCTGTAAAAGAATAAAATAAAAAGGAGGTAACTGAAGCGAAAATATAAGCAGACGACAGAGACATAAAAGATATATATATATATATGTGTGTGTTAAACAATAGAAGAACAATTCTAGTTCATGCATGTCAAACCCAGGACTTGTGGAAGGTGCCAGAGGCAGTGAAAGTGGTGGCATGTGGATGGACAGGAACCATATGGGGAACTGGAAGTTGCCAGCTCCTCCACAAATTTTTTCAAGGTTTTATCACATGAAACATTGCGTGTCAGGAAAGGCATGCAGTTCACCATTGGGTACCACTTCTTCCCTCTCATCTTTTTCTACCTCATTTGCGATACGAGCACCCCTTCTCAGTACCCCTACTCAGCTGGCAAGTTATCTGTGATGTGGAACGGGTTTGGGCAAGGACAGAGATGCCAAACTGCAGGTGAAGAGCAGAGCCGCACAGCACTACTCCCTATTCAAACGGAAGCCCAGAACAATCAGGCCCTTAATGTGTTACAATTCATTTGACTATCCACATTTTTGACTTTCTGTAAATAATGTGCTAAATGGATAAAAGAAGATACCATTTTTCCTTCTTTCCCCTGAGTTACTGATAACAAGACAAGTTCCTTCCCTTACAGTTTGTGCATATAAATGTGATTAATGTGAAAAAAAAAATTAAAGTGCCAAAATCTCTTTCTCTCTCTCTCTTTTTTTAAAGCATTGCCCTTTTCAAAACAAGGGGAAATTCAGTATAGTTTCAGTGCCACAGTGATCAAACAGTGTCACATCACTATGGCAATTGCTGCCCAGGCCAGGAATACAGATCAGCTTTAATTGTGCAACGCCTTATTGCTGGTGCATGTCAATCAGAACCTATGAATTGAGAAAAATTTGCTCTGTTCATTCTGTTAAATGATGTATCCAATTAAACCTGTTAGAATTCATGATCTTCAGTCAAGGTTAAATGAAAGTAGTTACTCCTGTCAGCTAGGTGATTAAATGCTGCCTACATCAGGCACATTTATGTGCAAAATTAAAATTTTGGTATAAAGCATGAATCTTTATGCATGCCAGTTAATTATCTCGCGGTTCCTCCATTTATTAAATGCCCACTGCATTTCTTCTTAATCATCAGCTTCCTTTCAAAACTTATTTCATACTCTACATTATACAAAAATTCAATGTTTAAAATGAAATGCTTTCTCAATGAAAACTTCCTTTTTTCATGGGTTTGGCTGTTGCTACGTTACTAAAGATGGCCATTAACAGTTTTTTTGAGTCATTATGCAGAAGGTCTATTTGTGTTGTTTTGTTCGATTCTGAGAGAGCGTGATACGAATCCCTCGAGTTGCTGCTTTCGGGCAGTTCCTCCTTCCCGCAACTGTTGGAGTTCTGCTGCACATCAGCCAACTCCAGCACACGACAAAGCAGCAGTGACACCACCCTCGGCTCTGCAGCTTCTGCCGTCTCGCAGAGGAATGGAAGGGCAACGGGGCAGCGCGGCACCACGGGGCGGATGCACCCCCGGCTGCCAGGCCCCTGCTCCCCACTGTCCTCAGCGGCGGGACAGGCTGGACCCCCGGGTACCGCAGGTGCCGTGGCCTCCGGGCAGGGCACTATCGATGCCCTCTGCTCTGGGCTCGGAGGGCTGGCTCCCTTCCTCCTGCCAGCCTTCGGTGCTGTATCTGTATTCCCTTTGGTTTGGCAATGTGATGTGTCCTGTTTGCCCTAGGCAGCTACCACACTGCAATATCATATTTTAATTAGAAGAAAAATTATGTGTTGCATGCTTGAATTAAATTAAATTGCATATTTGTATTTATAAGACACAGTATTGGCAGGATTTAAATGCTATATGAATTGAAGAACCCGAATACAGGTGTATTATAGTGATTTGTAGCTGAAACATTTGCTAGAAATACACACAAAGCAGAGCAGTACCAAATGCTAATTTAATACCCTAAGACAACGCTCCGTGCTCTTACAAGCACAATTTCACATATTCCATGTGAGCATTTATCCCCTTTCATTATGAAAAGGTATTAAGAACCTTTGTTACAAACAAGCAACATAAAAAATATGTCATACCACTTCACAACTACTAATGAATAATATCATTTAAACCAGACTGGGAAATAAACTAGTATAACACATTCTACTAAACTAGTACTATAAATATGCACAAGGTTGTTATTAAAGATAAATGCACACAGTAATTTTCTACTTGTAGGTTTTACAGGTATAATTTTGAATCATACAATATTTTTTAAAACACATCACGGGGATGGAAACCAACAGAAAGACTGACTGGCAGTGATTCCTCGTGATCAATATGTGACGTCTCCATCTATCTTTGAGGGCCCACATAAATTATATCGTGGTAGCGTGAACCTTCAAGGTGGGCGATGTGATTAACTTGTTCAGGGTCACAACAGGGAGTGTCTGGCCATAAGGACTTTCCACCTGTGGCATGGCCACACAGCAGCCACATCTGCAGAGATGCCGCAGGTGCCCCTGCGCCCTGCCAGCGCGGGCAGGGGGGCTGTGGGCAGGTCAACCTCAGCTTTGCATTTTTGAGTGGCAGCTGTTTTTCCCTTTACTGTGTGTGCCTTTCACAGTGTCCAAATTTGAGAGATCTGTTTAGAGCCCTGTTTGGCAGCCTGCTGTGCCCAGACTGTGAGCCTACCTGGGAAACCACGGCGCTCCTGCCTTCCCTTCCCAGCCAGCAGCAGCCTCCGCTCCGCTCCAGGCCCCGGGGAAGCAGCAGACAAAAGACTCCTCCTCTCCTGCTCCCCTATCAGCCACAAATAATGGACTTCTTTTTCCTGGCAGCTGCAGAGAAAAACACAGATATTTTTTCCTTTTTTTGTTCAGCAAATATAAGCTGTAAGTTAAAGCCCAATATCTTTAGATACCTCAACAAAAGAGGAAAAAAGGGAATCTTCACACTCACAGAGAATAATTCCTCGGGGGTGCTGGCAGGAGATGGCAACGCGCCAGAGAAGGTAGTTGGTGAATAAGGCTCCTTGCAGGTTTCTGGGATGTCTATTGCTGAGCTGCTTCAACTCACTTGGACCATCTAGAACTCTTATTTAATTCCTATTCTTCTTTCTCTACATGTTCCAACTTTCACACCAGTGCTCCAATACCCGATATCATAAGCTGTGAACCCCAGGCCCAATGGGCCTTAATGTTACCCCATGAAACTATGCTGGCAAGACAATTTATTTCTGCTCAAAACAATTTCCCCATCTTAAAATTGTGATTGTTAGGTTAACATCCCATTGAGATGAGAGAAGAAAAGAGCTACAGTTTCAGGTTGTGTCTAAAATTTTAAGGAAGGCAAGCTCCACTGATTTATCCTTGACATACTGTTTTATATCCATAAGAGCAAAAAACTTCTTTTTAGTGGCAGATTAAATTGTGCAGAAACTGACTGACACTGATAAGGCAAACACTGCAGTTCGCTTAAACAGGTTGAGAGTTGCACATCAAAGGCTGCTTGGCCACAAGAATGTAAGTGTGTACACACACACGCTCTGGTTTATTTGATTTCATAAGCAATGTTATCTTTGATACAAATACAAAGCAATACGAAAAATAAAATAAAATTGTCATGGAATGACAGCTTTTTAGTAGATAGACTCACAAAGAAGTTGTGTTTCAGATTATAGTCATTTTCAGGAAACGTACTTAGAAAATAATTAAGCATATTTTGTCCATTAATTCATACTTTTTTGTCTCTCATTGTCCTACTGAGAAAACTAAAAACTATGGAATGGAAGGAATTTTTTCTTACTGAATATTATAAATGAATAGAACAAGGGTTGTTAATGTTTGTAATTTTCCTTATCTGTACACATGAATATGTTATATGCTCATTTCCATTGCAAATGGGACATCAGAATGATCTTTGAAAACTGAAATATACTGTACATTTCATTTCTTCATTTCTTTGAAAATACCGCCAACAAAAATAATCAATTGCCAGTATGCTTGGACTAAAGCTTTGCAATTCAATGAAAATTGCATAAATTAATGGTGTCCATCCAGAATAAAGCAGGCAACATGCTTTGGAGGGTCATTATTATTTACTACGAAACAAAGTCACCTATGGAGCCCTCAACTATGCCTGGGCAATTTTGCAAGGCAAAAACATGCAGTCACTCTGTTTCTTACACACCTCTCCTCCACCTTCCTGTAGCATTCCTGTAGGAGCTGTGAAAGCTCCCTAGCTTTGGGAAAGGGCTCATAGGCTTTAGCTTTCTGTCTACTAATTTGTGTTTATTTTGCAAAGTACAGTAATGTCTCAGTCTCGTTTGGCCCTAGAGACTTCAAAAATGTATTAATTAAAAAATACAGTGAGAGATAGTGCCTACCCCAAAGTATTTTTTCATTATAGAATACAGAACCAAAGGAAGAAAGAGCTGTTAAGATCAGAGATTAACTCTGAGTTTAGAACGACATTTGAAGACACAGTAAAAAAACTACTCAAGATGGAAGGAGGACTGGTGCCCTTCACATAATGATGAGGCTCTAATGGCCAGAAAACAAAAAAATATGTAGAGTAAATACTCAGGACTAAAACCATAGGATGAATATACAACAGGAAAGTAAACCACACCCTTCTGAACTGAGTGGAACCGACATCTATGTATGATTGGTCTTACAGCTAATGGGACACTGGGTCATATTGAGAAAACCCTTACTTATGCAAGTAATCCCACTGAAATCAATGGGAACCCACGACTGTAATGACTGCTTCCTTGTCTCCGCTAGGGATTGCAAGGTCAGGTCCATTTTCTGTGCAATATTGGATGAATGCTAGAAAATCAATATCTCTATTGAGACTTCTTCTTTTGGAGTAAAAATAAACCTGGATCATTTTGAGTTCAAATGTTCATTGTTCCTGGGTGTTTTTATAAATTCCTTTTGAAAGCAAAATGGTCAAATCAAAATGGAGTGAAATGGTCACCTTTTTGGTGTGTTTTACAGCTTGTTTTTATAACTAGCTCTGTAATGCCATAAAGGTTAAAGGCAACTTCATAGTTTCTCAGTATTTATGCTCTACCAGTTAAAATCATAAGACCAAGGTCACAGTTTTATAATCTTTTTGTTTTAGCAGTTCCCCCTATTCAAATGACGCAGGGCTGAGGGATGGGGCGGGGGGGGGAAGAGAATGCTAGAGTCTGTTGTTTCAGAAATTTTGCTATATCATGGAAAAATTTTTGGTATTTTTGACATAGAAAATTCAAGGAAAAGAGTTTCTTTTTTTAATAAAAAGATTTCAGTGCAGTCATAGAAATATGACTTCTTATTGTGGAGCATTACTTTGCTACCATGGAAAAAAATTTAGTCAATTCTGTTCACATTACAGGTTATTATTGTACTTCAATCACTATGGAGCACCTTCAACTATTATTTTGTTTAAAATGCCTAAACCTATCATGGTATCTTTATCCTTAGTTTGCTACTAATCTACAATTATCCTTACTTGTAATTGTGCCCAAATTGAATTTTCACACTGAAATACATTAAATCCCTGTGTTTGGTTGCCTTATACTTCACTTGTGGTGAGTCAAAAGGAAATTAGGATTAATCCAAGGCATACAAATAAACTATTTTTAGGGTTTTCCTATAGCTTCAGGTTGTTCTGCAGTAATGGCTTACCCCTTCTTGGCTTGAATGAAAATCCAAGATCCATTTCATTACGGTGGAGATGTGACCAGCTTCATGTCTGGTACAAACAGTGGGCTGTGGCAAAATTCAAACAGTGGTTACAAAAGAGGTCACCTCACAGAAAATAACAGCTAATTCCTTTAACCTCGATTATTATCAAAATACCTTAGAAATGTGAAGTCTGTCAATTAAGAGGCTAATGAATAGGAATGGGTGTGCTTTCTCTCTGAGAGCTCCTTAAAATGTTGAGAAAATACATCCCAAATCAATTCTGCACTCACAGAACCCTAGACTAGAAGCATTTGGTTGACCCAGCTCAAATATTTTTCCCAAGGAATTTTATTTACCAAGTATTATTGGAAAGATCAGTTCTCTTTCAGATCAGCTTAATGGGAAGTTTGGATGATGAAGAAATAAAACTGCTTTGGTGACCAGGGTTCAACTAAGGCAATTGTGTTGTTCCCGGGACCAATGCAAAACTATGGATTTATCCTAGGATTCCAGCACAGCTGGATTTATTGGCGTGCTGAGGAGCAAATCCAAGGATGCGTTCAGCACTCACTCCCTTTTACCCACCTCTGCACAGCTTGTTTCCCACCCGCTGTGTGACATATTAGCCATAGCTTCTTCCACTCTTGCACCACTGAACAAGTGACTGTGGTTTGGCTCCATGACTGCTAACAACATTATTGACAAAGCAATGCTCTGTAATGTATAACAATGAGCTGTTGTAACACATTTACCCAACAACGTACACTTTTCAGAGACACCATTATTGTATTGTTTTCGGAGCTGTATTACTCACATAACATGTTCACTGGCACTAACATTCTTAATAGTACAAAAACATGTAATTGAAAATACAGGAGAACAATTGGAACCATTAAAACCTCACACAAGCACAGCATAATACCACATCAAGTGATCACCAGTGTCTTCATGGTGTGCCCTGCTTTACTTCATTACCTAATTGTTGTACTATTAGTGAAAAAAAAGCTAACCCAGAACCCCAAGCAGTGGACAACACAGTACAGTCTGTTTTTTAACTAACTGTGCTGGCTACAGTATAAGAATAAAAATATTCCAGTTCTTGGAAAAGTATAAGAATTAGGCATCAAAACAGGTCAGATACTTACATATATCTTTTTGATGTGCTCATATGATAGGAGAACAGATTGATAAAGGACAGAAGAAATGCTAAATATGCACCATGACAAACAGTGAAAAATTAAGTATTGTAACTAACATTAATTACACTCCAGTAAGATGAATAGGCTGCTCATCATTAATGAGAATGTACACCTTTGTCTAAGTTTCACATCTACCTGTGATAAATGTGCTAATGGCGATAAAATACATCATAGTAACATTTGAATTACCAGCACACTAATAGATTGACATACAAGTATGAATAAAGCATTTAATCATAAACATTGTACCACACCCAACAGCAAATTTTCTTTTTTGCATATATATCATGCAAAATGGATAAACATTACAGTCTTATTTTAGTTTATGCCGAGACAATCTAATAGTATTACCTCATACTACCCCAATATTTGTAATTCATATTATTAGATACTTACACAGTGTTTTTTGGGAGACATTCAGGCAGTTTAATTAAACAGTAAGGGGGATTTCTGAATAGAAAGGGTGGGGCTTGGTCTTAGTACAAGCTACCCACTGCCTCTTGCCCATGTGGCAGGGATGGACTATTCAAGCAATCTTCATGGTTGACTCCAACGCCTATTAAAGGATTGATTGAAATTTATGCTTAATGGATATTAAATCAAGCCCACAGTACTTATCTGTATGTTGAGGAGTCCTTCCCTCCTGCATTTCCAGTGCCTGTTTCCTGGCAGAAAGGCAGGGGGGTGATGGAGCCACGCGCACAGGGCGAGTGGTCATCACTGCCTGCTGTGCCTGCGCAGCACAGAGCCAATGCCAGTTGCAGCCTCCCTGTTTTGGAGGAGCTGGGGTAGGCAGCAGCCGTGCCATACCATGCCGTGCCATTCCCTGTGCCTCCACAGCAGCAGGGAAGGTCCCCCAGGTGGCCATATCAGACCACTCCCAACAGACATGTCCCCATTTACTCATTGCCCTCTGAATGGCTCCTGAGGCACCTGGGCCTGGAGGCTACTTCTGTTTATCTGGAAGGGCCACCTTGCAACACAGCTATGTTACCTACTTTCACCACGGAGAAAGCACATGGAAATGCTTGTGCTTTGTTACAGGGTCTCAGCCAGGGGCAAGCAGATACAGCTGAGGAGCTCTAAGAGGCAGCTGGAAGTAGAAATTTGCCACAGTGCTCTAGCCAGATTCATAGGACAACCTCTCGTCATTCTCCCCTGGTAGGAGAGACTTTGGTCCTTTGGCTGACAAGTGGTTTTTGCTGGGCATGGAGCCAGAATGCAGGGGCACTCACCACCACGAGCTTTCCTCCTCACCCAGGGCCACAGCTCCAAGCTGAGAAGGAAAAAGGCTGGATTTCACCGCCCATCTCCTTCTCTCATGGGCCATTCCCAAAGTCTCCACTTCAGTGAAGAGCCAGCAATGAGAAAGTGGAGGGAAGAAGAAGAACAGGAGGACCCTGTGGGCTCAGCAGCAGCAAGCAGTGCTCCGCTACAGGTAAGACTAACAAACGGTATAAAGACCAGCTGTAATTCACAGAACAAACATCGCCAGAAACATTGCCAAAAGGGAATTGCTTTAGCCAAATGGTTTCCTGAAGATCACTCAAATGGTGCAAGCTCGTCAGTGTATTTTTAATGCAATTAAGCAGATGGCTTAAAATACTTTAATTACTGCCAGGGCTCACCTAGGCTGCACGGTAGATGACACTGGACCTGTGCAGTGCCTGTTATAAAATGCTGTTGTAAAAACCTAAGAGACAGTGTAGAGGTAATGTGCACTACGCAATTAATCCATCTGCGTGGACCACAAAAAAGGCTCTGCAGAAGGTGAGCATGGACACAAGTGAAAGACCATGCCTGCTGCCATTCTCATAAACTGCACTGTGCCAAGACACCTTGTGCTGGTTGTCTGCTGGAGGAGGCTCCAGCAGCATCCCAGGGGGAAGGAAGCCCCCACATGCAGAACAGGGCATGCACACATGGCCAAAGAACTCAGTCCAGCTTTCCTCTTGTATCTAAACGGACAGATCTCTCCAGGAAAAATGAACATCTTGAAAAGTAATGTAGGGATTTCAAATTGTTCATATATTTTATGCTATTCTACTGTAGCACAAGCAAGCCAGCAATATAATACTGTATGACTGCACTGGTAGCCACCATACTCACATTGAAAACATTGAAAACATTTATTCTTTCTTTGTTACAATAAATGGTACATTACCCTAGTGCTGTGTACCTTTGCATTCCAGCTGGCAACTTATTGATTAGGGTAACAGTTCTGAGCTTCTCCCTCCCATACAATAATCTGTATAATTTCACATTTCTAAATGCTAAAAGTGCACTAATGCAAGTGGGAAGAGTTTCCTCTGCTATTTCACATACTTAAGGAGAAGATGTTATCGATTCATATACTCTGCTCTGAAAGTGCTTTGCAAAGGCCATAAGTATTATTATTTTCATTTTAGCAAGCAGGAAAATGGCACACAGATTGCCCAAGGTCACCCTGAAGATCAGTGAGAGAACCAGGTTTAAATTCAGATCTTCTGGGTCCCCCATGCAGAGACTATTCTGCTGAGCTGTTTTTGGAAGGTCAGAACCCTCCAAATGAAGCATGGCCATAATATACAACCCATTCTCCCAGTACAAAAATAATTTTTGAGATTCAAAACATTTTTTCTCTATTAACCTTTTAATGGCTACAAGCATGAAGTGAATTCTTTGTGTTAAGAAAAGAAGAGCTTAAAGAAACAAAATCTTAAAATTTCGAGCTGAAAAAATTTATACCAGTTTAACACTTACCTCCTGGACTCTAATGATGTTAACAACCCAAAAATTGCCTGCAGAAGCAGCTGAAATTTTGCTTGCACAAATTTTGAGTTGAACTCTGGGTCACCGAGATAATCTTCTTTTACAGTTTGAAAAATAACTGCAGAAATGTATTCTTGTCAAAATTAATATTCTTTTGCACAAATCCACCTACCTAAAAAAAAGAAAAAAAGGAAAAGACGTGTGAAGGTTTACTAATTAGTAATAAAATTTGAAGCTTGTGGAAATGTCAATAAATGTCACAAATATACCAGCTTGATAAGTTGTGGGTCAGTACCAGCAATGGTAAAAACAGTTCGAACCTGGTTTTCATGTATATTTTGAATGCTAGTTTGGATATTTCTTCTGACGTTAGACCTGTTCCTCTTTCCAAACCTTCTGCTTACTGAAGTTTATTGTCACCTGAAAATACAAGTCTCTCTTTACCGACAAACTGCCTCTCACTCTTTTTCCATATCTCCCTCATGTAACCACAGTATTCTGAGGTTTAACTAGTGAAACTTAAAAAATGTATTAGAACAGAGAAAATTAAATAAATGACCTCACATACACAGAAAACAAAACATAGTTCACATATTTCATTATTTTGTTATGTTTGTTAAAAAGAAGTAATTATAAATTCTAAAGGACAACCCGGGGAAATATTGCAGTTTTACTTCAGTAAGAGTGTCCATATATAGCATATAACACAGTTCTGGCTTTTACTTTGCACGAGCAACTCCCACTGCCATCAGGATGTTCAGACTGACTGCAGGATACTATTTTCCCATGGCACCTATTGCTATTTTCAAATGGATAATGCTGTTTTTTTAAGCCCACAGTTCTGAGTACCTTTAGTATTAGGCATGACCTTTTTGTGCAGGCTTGTTCTCTGATCTCAACAAGTCTTCTGGGTAATCTAGCAATTTGCTAACAACAGTCTCATAAAGAAAAATAACACAAAGCTTTCATTCTACATGCAAACTATGCAAATATTGTATATCTCAATAATGTGTTTTGCAATCACTGTTTTAAATGTCTGTGATCCTGGGGATATTCTAGCTGTTCCAGGATACAGGAAACAATTCATCTCTGGAGACAAACATTATTTAATTGGACTAATGACTGATTTACTAACATGAACTCCACTTGAAGCATGTAGTAATTTATTTCTTTTATTCGCCAGGGACTGTTGTTTTTCTGAAATAGATCAGTAAGAAACCAAACTAACAAAATATTTTGGATTCATTAATTTGCAGAAATGTAACTTTAAAATGTTTAATCTAAATGAGGTATTGGCTCCAGTGGGTCAATCACTAATTTAATTTTAAGCAACAACTTGATTTGCCTTATTTTCATCATTGATCAATAGATCAAACTGGGTCTTCCAGGTAGTGCCATGAATAATCTCTAGGATAGAATTGATTACAAGACTATTAATGATCAGGATAAACTCAAACTCCACCTATGCAGTAGTCAAGATATGATCCTCATGCATAGGGTTTCTTGACATGCTTTGTATCCCACATGGGACCTCTGCAGAAGGATGTGTGTGCAGCCTGTGTTTCCCCCACATCACGTCTCAAACAATTTTAAATGAACAGGGACCAATATCATAAGTCTTTCACTTTCCATTGCATCAAGGGGGACAGAGCAATCAGCGAAGTCTCTATCAGTATCTTTTTCATCCCCAAACTGTCAACCATATTTTGGTAATTACTCTGTCTTTTGAAATAGCACCAAATTAAAGAGAGGCATAGCTGGTATGCTTAC